ATCGGGCTGGGTCAGGGCTTCCTATGGGCCTCCCAGCACCTGTGTGTATCCCACGATGAACCCAGTCGCTGACCCATGTCGGCCTCCTGCACGTGCCCAGGCCAGGTACACAGTGGCACTACATGTTTGCTAACATGAATGCTCTCACTGCTAGCATCTGACATATCTAAGAGAGATGTCCTGTGTACCCCTCGACGGTCACCCTGCCTACAGCACACTGTTACCGCCCCATGTCTCAGGCTGACCTTTCCGATATCCTAGGGCTACGGCAAGATCCATTGGGGTATAGCCAGAGTCAGCCTCAGTGGTGAGATCAGCTCCTCGGGCTGCAAAGCAAAGCAGGTGCTATGAGAAGGTGGGGGTACTGGGAGCCCAGAATGGGGCATGGCGACTTGGGAAGTCCAGGGATCCCTCACAGTACAGCCACAGGCCTGCTGTTTGCCCATGTGGGCCTGGATGAAAACCTGGGCTCTCCAAAGAATGTGGCCAACAGCATCCCCACTTCCAGGGTCCCTGAGGCACAGAGGGTATGGGTGTTCAACCTGGTCAGCCAGACCCCCATACTATCCCACCATCTCCTGTTCCCAAATCAATCCTCTGGGAAAAGCAGATCATGACCACCCATCCCAAGAGCTGTTCAATCAGCTTGGATCCCTCCCTGGACCTCAGGATTCCTGTGGGGCCAGCTGTTACTCACACTTACCCAGCAAGGTTTCTACGCACTTCACATGGTTCCCACGCACGGCGTACAGCAGTGGTGTCCCTCCATTCTGTCAAGGGCAAGGGCAACCAACATTCTGTCTTTTCCAGTTTTGCACAACACCCCCAACCCTCTAATTTAATGTGGTTCCTCCTCCTACTCATCACCTGATCTAATTCCTCCCTTTGGGTCTCAGCTTAGATACCCCTTCTTCCAGGAAGCCCTCCTTGATTTCCCTTGGCTATATAGGCTACCTCTGGGCTCTTGGAGTTGCCTGTGTGTCTGTTATTACAGTGTTATTTACTGTAATTCAGCTGATTGTCTTCTTCCCCCCAAACTAGGAGCTCTGCGAGGTCACAGATGGGTCTGTCTTGTGTTCTGAACACCTAGAACAGGCCTGGTACCCTGCAAGGTGCCCAGGGCTGGTGGGCGGTGCCTCACCCAGTCGTAGATGTTGATGTCCACATCACGCTCGAGTAGCAGCCCTACGATGTCTGTGTAGCCTCCCATGCTGGCCAGTGACAGGGCACTTTCCCGCTCCTTGGCCAGGATGTGGGGGTCAGCACCCTGCAGTGGTGGTGGTGGGGAGCAGAGGGAGTGGTGATGGGATGGGTGGGGGGCATGCCCTGGAATCCTGGAGTACCTATCGCAGCCTCATCTTACAGACAGGGCACCAGCAGACTCAGACCCCAGCCCACCCTCCAGTCTCTGGGAAGCCCTGAGCTGGGCTGGGACGCACCCACTCGAGCAAGAAGCGGACAGTCTCGATTTCTCCAAAGGCGGAGGCCCAGATGAGGGGGGTGAAGCCATGCTCGTCCGGCTTGTTGATGAGGTTGTCGCCTGGCAGGAGGGGGGTGGTACCACTGGGATGCACCCCTGCCCACTCTCCCTAGTGTGGCGGGAGCAGGGACAGGGCGGGTGGCTGGGGTCAGATGGGAGTGGGAGTTACACATGAGGACACTCAGGTCCTTTCAGTACCCACATGCCTACCCCAGCACATGTGGTCAAGACAGGTACAGACACACCAGCGGACTCATGTGGACACCCACCTTTCCTCAGATGTTCCTTTAGCTGGCTCAGCTCCCCCTGGGCTGCAAGCTGGTGAATGGACAGGGCTAGGGGCCAGAGAGAGGCAGAGTCCTCACCCGTCCTGTCCCCACTCCGTGCCTCCATTTACCCTACCCGAAGTTGCTCCCCTCAGTCCCCACTATTCCTACTATTTAGGGAGGCTGAGGGACTACAGGCCCACTTACAGTCCAGGGTGGCCGGCAGGGCAGAAACCTCATTCCCCCGCTGCCGGTTGGTGAGGGTTGTGGAATGCTTCAGGGAGCTGCCGCCTGGAACAGAGAGGAAGGGCCTCAGTTTCCCCTCAGTATGTCTCTGGGGCTCCAGACAAACCCTTGGGGGCCTGGAGCTACCAAAGACAGTGCCTCACACCATTGTTCACTCACTCTGCCCTCCTGGATACCCAGAGGAGCCTTTCTCCTCTCCACCTGGTGATGTTCTGGGCAGATGAGACAGTCCCTGCCCTCAAGGAGGGGACAGAATAGAGAAATAGGTGTTCAGGAGCTATGAAAAAGAGGTAGAAGAGAACGGAAAGAGGGGAGGGCAGGGGGTGAGTCCCTTTTAGACAAGGTGGTCAGGGAAGGCCACTCCGAGGAGGGGATACCAATGGAGAGCTTGGTCAGTTGAAGAAACCAGCGCTGGGAAGAGGCGTGAGAAGCAGGGACCAAGGCCCCAAGAGGTACTGAATTTGACGTGTTCAAGGATTCCAGTCCAAAGAAGTCCTTGGGTCCTCTACAGGGTCAACAGAATCACCATCTGACCCAGCAATTCCACTTCTAGGTATCTACCCCTAAGAGCTGAAATCAATGGCTCAGACAAAAACTTGTACACCAATGTGTACAGCAACGGTAGTCACGATCGCCAAAAGAGGAGCAACCCCAGGGTCCATCAGTGTGTGAACAGATAAACAGAATGTGGTCTGGAACGGACTGTTACCAGGTCAGAAAAAGGAACGAAGCACTGACATGCTGTAATGCGAACGAACCTCAAAAACCATCAGCTGAGGGCTGCCTGGCTGGCCTGGTTGGAGGAGCACGTGACTCTTGATCTTGGGCTCGTGCGTTGGAGCCCCAGGTAGAGATTAGATAAACAAAACTTAAAACAGAAAACCATCATGCTGAGCAAAAGAAGTGAGACACAAAAGACATGTATGATTCATTTATATGAAATGTCCAGAACAGGCAAGTCCCTAGAGACAGAAAGTAGACTAGTGGTTGATGGAGGTAGGGGAGGAAGGATGGAGGGTGACTACTAATGGGAATAGGGTTTCCTTTTGGGGTGATGGAAATGGTCTGTAACAAGAGATGGAGGGTTACCCACATTGTGAAAGTACTTACTACCAATGAATTGTTTGCAAGTCTCCTTAAAATAGTAACTTTTATGTTACGTGGATTTAAGCATCATATATACATATATTCATGTATGTGCGTGTGTCTATGTACATATAAAAGCAATCTCTCACTGCGTGGAGAGGGAAGACACATGCTAGGTAGAGAAACACAAAGACAGAGGTCCTATCTGGGGCCTGACATTCCACAGTCCTTGCATTCTAGAGATGGAAGGAGTCCAGGGGAAATATCCCACCTACCCTGAGGTGAGGAGGCACCAGCGTCCGGTTCAGGATTCCCAGGCTCCAGAGTGCAGGGGAAAAGACTGAGCACCACAGTATCTGAACCATCGGGGGCCTCATCCCCAGGATCTTCAGGGTCCCCAAATTCGGGGATAGGAAGCTGCTGGGTCACACCGAGGTCTTCTGCAGGCTGGGTGGGCTCCATGGGGGAAGCTGGAAGAAGCACCAAAAGGGGAGAGAACAATACTTATCAACAACTCCTATTGAGTAGGCACCAACAGCATATGAGTAGGCACCAACAGCATACCCAGCCTTGCAAAGCGAGGGTGGCTAAACTCCTTTCAGGTCCACTCCTCTACCCCCACCCCCAACCAGGACACATATAACATGCTTAACTTAAAATGGGGTCAACTCTCTGGGTCCAAATCCCTCCACTTATAGGCCCGGGCACATGATTTAACTTATCTGAGCCTCAGTTTCCTCAATAAAATAGGGAAGTGATGTCAAAATCATGCTTGTAAACAGCTAAGCTGGGGGCCTGACACACGGGCAGAGCTTAATAGACATTCCCTGTAGTTATTTGGGGGGGGGGTGTCCCCGGAACGAGTGAGTGTTCAACAAAGATGTGATTGGTCCCATCCCCACCGGCCCCTCCCAAACAGATCCAAGAGGTCCACTCACCTCTAACGAGCCTCCTCTGTCACCCCACGCCGCAAGGCCGGGTCCCCCAAAACTTGGGGGCCCTATTCACAAACTTTTCTCCTCCAACTGATACAGGGGGAGCAAGCTAGAGCCTGGACCCTCAACGTCCCCGTTTCTTCTGCCGGGACAGGGAGCAACTTGATACACGACCGCTACCCCAACCCCAGAGTTCCCCCAATGCGCCTGCGCACCCTGCCTCCCCAAAAGTGCCTAAAGGCGAGAGCCGAAGCTGCTTCTGGCCCTTTAAGGCTTAAGGGGAGGGGCGTGGTTTCCGCTGGGGGCCCGAGCAGTGTTGTTGCGCTTGCGCGTTCTTGCCCCGGCAACTCCGGAGGGAGCCCGGCCGGGTCAGAAGGGATGGGTGGAGCCTCAGAGGGCTCCGAGGATTTCTTTGCGCCTGTCTTCCGTCACTCTTTCCCAGCTCCGCCCACAGGTTTTTCCGGAGCGCGCCGCTAGGCTCCAGTTGAGGCCGGATGGGTGGGGCTTTCTCTGGTCGGAAGGCGGTGGGCGGGGAGCAGTCGGGGCGTCAGGGATTTAAAGGGGCGACACACCGTTGCACCCGTCCACAACAATGCGCTCTTTGCGTCCTGGGGGCTTACGAGCATTTGTAAGAATCTGATGGCAGCAGAAGGGATACAGAAAGACCGTTTACACAGCCCGAAGTGGGCAATGTCTGGAGCGTTTCCCCAGTCCGTCTGCTCCCGGAAAAGGGAATTCGGGAAGGGAGGGCACCCTTGCCCCTCCCTGTCTGGGTGTCCCTTCTGGAGCTTCAGGGGGTCTCCGCCCCCTTCCTCACCCGCCCACCGGTGTGCCTCCTTCCCCAGTCTCACTCACGGCTTCTTTCCAGCCTGGCTACAGGGAGGAGTGGGGAAGGCAGGCCAATTGACACCGGAACTAGAGTGGCACAGCGTCTGGTTTCGCGGGGGGGAGGTTTAAGTATACTTCCACAGCGCCAGACTTCCGCTTCCGGTCTTCGGAACGGTTCGCAGTAGCTATGGAGGAACCGGAGATGCAGCTCAAGGGAAAGAAAGGTGGTGGTGCGGAGCCCCGGGCTGGACAGCAGGGTGACCCGACAGAGGGAAGAAGGGGGCAGTGGCTTGGAGGGAGCATGCGGGGGAACTGATTGATCTACCATTGAACCCTGGCTTGGCCGATGACTAGTTTTAAAACCTTTAGAAAGTCTCCGTCCCTCGGTTTTGTCATCTGTAAAATGGGGTGTATAGTAGTCTCTCCCAGCCCCGCATAGGTTTGTTGTGAGAATTCAGTGACCTGGTATTTGTAATGCATTGGAAGAACGCCTGGGACTTGGCAGTCGTGCGTATTATTCCCTAATGCATTTACGCTTTTGTCTAGGTTTACATTAAAATATTTGTGAGTCACGTGTTTACAAATTACAAAGTGCCAAAAACGATTTTTTTATAAAGATTTTATTTATTTATTTGACAGAGATCACAAGTAGGCAGAGAGGCAGGCAGAGAGAGGGGGAAGCAGGCTCCCCGCTGAGCAGAGAGCCCGATGAGGGGCTGGATCCCGACCCTGGGATCATGACCCCAGCGGAAGGCAGAGCCTTACCCCATTGAGCCACCCAGGCGCCTCTACACACGTTTGTTTTCTAATTAATTATTTAGAAGGCACAAGTACATTTCATTCGCAAGAACACCGAAGGGTAAGCTGTTCTCATTTTCAAAACGAGGAGGACTAGGAAGATGAGAGTACACACAGTTTGGAGATGGCAGGATGGGCTGTGCCGCACTAGTGAGCTAGACGGACTGCCACTAGCCAGACTCATGCAGAGCCTTCCCTGACTCCGCCCCTCATCCCTCATCAGGGTTCTCTCTCATCTACCGCACTATACTGGGCAATAGCAAGGGGTCCATCTGTGTAACAAACCTCAAGGTGGGTGCTATTATCACTCCATTTTACAGATGAGGAAACTGAGGCTCAGAGAAGCCCCTGCCCTCCAGAGTCCAAGCTTTGATTTTTTTTTTTTTTTTTGTAAACATATAACCTAATAAAGAATGAGAATTTAAGTGTAAGAAAATGAGCAAGGTGCTGAGGTTGAGAATGAGGTGGAAGGGACATCAGATTAAGCTTGCTGATCAGGGAAGACCTTGCCCAGAAGGTGACATTTGATCTGAGGCAGAAGGGGTGAAAAGAGGCCAGTGAGGGAAGGGCGAGTCAGTGGCAGAACAACAGATGCAAAAGCGCTGAGGTGGCAAAGTGTTCAGAGCTGTGCAGCAGTACAGCAACTCCTGGTCTCACAGTATTTGTGGGTATTTAATTTAACTGAAATTAGGTAAAATTTAAACTTCATAGGGTGAGCACCAAGTAATGTATAGAATTATTGAATCACTGCATTAGTACACCTGAAACTAATATAAAACTGTATGTGATCTATACTGGAATTAAAATGTAAAAAAATTATAAAATAAGATTCAGTTTGCGAGTCATATTAGCCACATTTCAAGTGCTCAGTAGCCATATGTGCCTAGTGGCTACATTATTGGACAATTACAGATTATAGAACCTTTCTATCATCTCTGAAAGTTCTTTTGGACAGTCCTGGCAGTGTTCAAGGAACAGCTGGGAGGCCATTGTGCCATGGGTGGAGAGTGGGGAGGGCAGGGAGGTCAACAGCAGGTAGAATATACAGAGCCTTATGGATCATAGTAAGTTAGGTGATTTTATGCTGTGGCAGATGGGAGCCATGGGAGGATTTCAGACAAGGGAGGGACATACTTGGTATGTTCATTAGATGCTCACTCCATCTGTTGTGTGGAGATCAGATTGTTGGCAGAGGGGGAACCGGGAGACGAGGGAGGAGCTGACTGAACCTGGTATCCAGGTGGGAGGTGGCCATCCCCAGACCAGTGGGCATGGTGTAGTGAAGAAGGGACGAGGGAAGGGGGAAACAGGATAGGGAGGAAGCTGAGCAAGGAGTGCTGTCAGGTAAAATTCTCAGCCTGTTCGTTCAGGAGAACTCAGAAGGATGAGTTATACATTGTCCCAACAGAAGGCATGGGGCATGATTTAATACCCTTTTATGGTAGTCATGAAGATCCCATCCAGGGATCTGAGCATCCAGGCATTTTCAGATGCAGTAACTGGTGGTTCCTCCGAAGAAGAATCTCAGATTCATTCCTTGGGATAAAAGGAATGTGAGGGGGTCCAAGTGGACAGAAGCAGGCTTGGGAGGGGAACGATCGTGAGTGCCCTGGATGTGTTAGCATCATGATTAATTGAGGCCGTTTTGTGACCATCTCCTTCCACCTATCCCTGGGGCCACAGGTGACCCAGCTCCTGGACAGTCCCTGCTCTAGCTGGAATCATGGATTAAGCAGTCAAGAGTCTTATGCTTTGTCTCCTGGTGTCTCCCTACCCTTCCCCTTGTTCCGCCACCACCACCCCTCCCCGCCCCGCCAACTCCTACCCCCAACTGTCGATTCCCGACCCAGTCACAGACAAGTTCACTGAGAGTGTCTATGTCCTGGCCAACGAGCCGTCCGTGGCCCTATACCGGCTGCAGGAGCATGTGCGCCGCTCTCTGCCCGAGCTGGCCCAGCATAAGGTGAGCCCCAGTTGTTCCTGCCCCCGTGCTTCCTGAGAGTCCTCATGTCATGAGCCAAGACCTGCTCTGTGGAGCAGGGGCTGTTGGGGGCGGAGTCAAGGCTGGGACACCAGCAAGGAGGCATAGGGTCACTGAGACAGGTTGGGGCCTTGGGTGGACAGACTTGGAAGAAGGGGGCAGCAGGATGTGCATTAGTTGTGACCTGTGTGATGAGAAGGGAGGAGGCAGCTGCACGTCGACCCGAGGGAAAGATGTGCTGGGCAGAGGGAACAGCCAGAGCAAAGGCCCCGAAGCACGGTAGCCAGGTGTTCACAGAAAGCCCAGACTGGTGGGGCAGGGGATCTGTAGGAGGAAAGATGGGGATGGAGGGGGCTGGTCTCTGTGGCCATGGCGACGGGTGATCAGGTGCTCCATCCCAGAGAACTAGGAGGATGGAGGTGGGAGCCCTCTTGTTAACAGCTTCCCATCCCCCACAGGCCGACATGCAGCGGTGGGAGGAGCAGAGCCAGGGTGCCATTTACACGGTGGAGTATGCCTGCAGGTGAGAGTGGTGGCCTCCCCACTCCCGGGCTGGTCCCACTATGCCCCGGGGTCAGCTCTTGGGCATTCAGGCGCATCACAGCCATCTGCCCAGTGAATCTTGCCCTGTTGAATGCACCTGAGTTGGGGCATGTGGATCTTGGCTTACCCGACCACACAGCAGGTTCCAGCCCAGGCCTGCTCCTCTCACCATCGCCCCAACCCACATGTGCCTCAGACAGGCTGCTTCCGGAGCCGAGTCCCTCCCCATGTGGCACAGGGTGGTCATGGTTTCAGGGAGCCGCTACCTGGGCCAGGGAGCCAAGGCCTCAAGGGGCATTTCCCTGCCACAGCCAGGACCACAGACTGGCTAGTGGGGTGAAAGCAGCTTGAGGGGAGAGCCAAAGCACAAATATGTCTGTTTATTTTTAAATTTTTATTTTTATTTACTTATATTTTAAAGATTTCCTTATTTATTTGAGAGAGAGAGCACCAGTGGGGGTGGGGGGCAGGTGGAAAGGGAAAAACAGGCTCCCTGCTGAGCAGGCAGCCCAGTGTGGGGCTTGGTGCCAGGACTCTGGGATCATGACCTGAGCTGAAGGCAGATGCTTAGCAGACTGAGCCACCCAGGTGCCCCTTAAATTTTTATTTCTTTCCAATTTTTTTTTTTTTTTAACTTTAAGTAGGCTCCACACCCAGTGTGGGGCTTGAACTCACAACCCTGAGATCAAGAGCCCCAGGCTCCACTGAGTGAGCCAGCGAGACGCTCCTCCAGTTTTTTTTACTGTGTAACATACACACAAAATGTGTCACCTCAACCATTTTTAAGTGTACAGTTCAGTGGTATTAAATACATTCGTAATGCTGTGCAGCTGTCCCCACCGTCCATTTCCAGAATTTTTTTCATCTTGCAAATCTGAAACTCCTCGTTCGACCCTAACTCCCCTTCCCCTCTCTCCTAGCCCCTGGCCCCCACCATTCTGTTTCCTGGTTATGAATCTGGCCATTTGAGGGACCTCACATAAATAGAACCTTCCAGGATTTGTCTTTTTGTGTCCTCTGCTGTCCCTCCATGTGCTGTCCCCCGGGTCTACCCATGCGACAGCCTGAGTCAGAATGTCCTTCCTCTTGAAGGCCAAGTGGCATCCCACTGCGTGGAGGCACCACGTCATCGGCGTCTGGCAGTGGACTTCCAGGTGGCGCCCAGGCTTTAGCTTCTGTGGAGAGCGCTGCTGTGAACGTGGGTGGACCACCGAATCTCATTCTTCCTATTTTGTGTTTAGCTTTGGCTAAATCTTCAGATCCCTGCCCCCTCCGCAAGGGAAGGATGTGTGAGAGAGCCAAAACCGGCAGGCAGCGTTCCTTGTCATCCTTGCTCCTTGGCGGGTCTCGCTTCCCGCTCTTCTGTTGGTTCCCTTGACTGTGTTTAATGGCCTGGCTCATTCTGTCTGCCTCGGGAGCCCGGCAGTTTTGTTTAGAAGTGCTGCTTGTCCCTTGTACTGGCTAAGTCATTTTGGTGGAAGCCAGAAACCCCAGCCGTTCTCGTCTGTGGCACCACGGGCTTGGCCTGCCTGTTCCTGTTGCGTGGGCGAAGGCTCCTTGACAGGCGGTCCTGCTGCCAGGGGCACTGAGCTGCATATTCTGCCGTTAGCAGCCTGGACTCCTCCGCTGGGACAGAAGGCAGCCCAGACAGATGGCATCTTCTTGAGGCTGATGGCCTCAAACACCCTCCTTGATTAGCTCAAGGAAGAGTAGTAAAGAAGTAGAGGAGTTTCTCTCTCACATCTGCCAAACAGTTGCCAGACCGCTCCGGGACAGCCGCGAGGAGGAACACATCAGAATCTGTACTTTGTCCCGGTTCTTCTAGCTGCCCCATCTAGCACGGGAGTCTGGGCTGTGGGGGACTGCTCACACTCAGATTTTAATCCAGCAAAATGAAATAAAAGATTCAGCCCCTCTGTCTCACATAATCATATCTTAATTGCTTAGCAGCCAAGTCAGTGGATAAAGATGTTCCAGAAAGTTCCACCGGGCCATGCTGAGCTGGACAGGAGGCTGGAGTACTCTGAGTGCTTCTCTTGAAGGAGAGGCAAATTTCTGTCTGCTAAGAGACCAGGTTTCCTTTAGGGACATGAAAGAGCCCTTCTAGTTCAGAATGCTTTACACAGTGTTAACAGTTGGTGTGAAATTTAAAGTTACTGAATTGGGGTAAACTATTCCGTAGGGAACTTAACAATGGAAAGTTTCTCTATCAAGGTGGGCAAACCCTAGAGCTTTGGTGGTGCTAAGATGAGCAAGCTAACAGCTGGTATCGGCCAAAGCTCCTCCCCTCTCCCCCCCACCCCTCCTTCACCGCATCACCCCCCTCCCCACCCCTGGCCTTGATCTCCTGGCCATTTTACAGCAGGTCCCTGACTGATAACAAGTGGGAGTGATTTCTTTGTCTTTAATAGAAGAGCTTTAAAAAGACGCTTTTCGTTTTTCCTGCAGCTGTTACGCTAGTGACTTGCTGGCATCAGCAAGGCCTGGTAAATCAGTGGCATCAGTGGCCTGGTAAATATTTTCCTGCAGTACTTTCAGAAGGGCCACTTTCCTTAGACATTCCTCAGTGTGGCACCAACATGAGGTTAGCACAGCTTTGCCGTGGTGCTCCCCACCCCCATTTGGTGGTGAATTTTTCTAGTTCCCTCCAAACTCAAACTCCAGAGCTTTTCATAGTTGAGTTGATAAACCTTCCTTCAGAGGCAGGAATAGGTTATCTGAGAGGAAAGCCAAGATGTCTTTGAGGCCATCTTTACAGGCTTATAGCTTCTTCAAAACATTAGGTGATCTGGGGCAGCTGGGGGGCTCAGTTGCTTGGGGGGCTCAGTCGGTTAAGCGTCTCCCTTTGGCTCAGGTCATGATCCTGGGATCTTGGGATTGAGCCCTGAGTCAGGCTCTTTGCTCAGCGGGAGCCTGCTTCTTTCTCTCCCTTTGCCATTCCCCCTAATTGTACGCTCGCTCTCTCTTACGCTCGCGCGCTCTTTCTCAAATAAATAAAATCTTCAGCCAAACAAATAAAACATTAGGTGACCTGGCAGCAGGCATGTAAAAGGTGCATCTAGGGGGCGCCTGGGTGGCTCAGTGGGTTAAGCCGCTGCCTTAGGCTCAGGTCATGATCTCAGAGTCCTGGGATCGAGTCCCGCATCGGGCTCTCTGCTCAGCAGGGAGCCTGCTTCCCTCTCTCTCTCTCTCTCTCTGCCTGCCTCTCCATCTACTTGTGGTCTCTCTCTGTCAAATAAATAAATAAAAAATCTTTAAAAAAAAAAAAGGTGCATCTAGGGGCACTGGCGGCCTCCGTCAGAAGAGCATGTGACCCTTGATCTCAGGGTCATGAGTTTGAGCCCCATGCTGGGTGTAGAGGTGACTTAGGTGAATAAATAAATAAAAACTTAAAAGTTGCATCTAGCCATCATGTGTTCTATTGGATGGATGCCGTCTAGGCAGGGCAGGGAAATTGAAACTTGAAGGCCACGATGAGCCCTCGGGGAGGAGGTGCCTGAATCCGCAGGGTACCTGCTGGGCCCTGAGCCCGTGTGGGCCCCCCACGAGCCTCCGGGAGGGAGGATACACGGGCAGGCCCGGGACAGGGAGGGTAAGGCAGGCGTGGCACCGACCGGTCCGTCCTCCTGTTTCAGCGCCGTGAAGAACCTGGTGGACAGCAGCCTCTACTTCCGCAGCGTGGAGGGTCTTCTCAAACAGGCCATCAGCATCCGGGACCACATGAACGCCACCGCGCAGGGCCACAGGTAGCTCCGGGGACCGCCTGCTCCTGCTGCCCTCAGCCTCCTCGCTGTGAGGACCTTTGCTGCTCAGCTGGGAACTGCCGCTTCTCGCTCCTCCGACAGCTCCCTTTCCTCATCTCATGGTGTGTGGTGGCTTCCTCCTGTCCTTCGGCATCTGTAGCGGGGACCGTTCAGCCACTCAGCTCCTAGTCCTGAGCTCTGCTGTGGGCCCAGCCCCGGGCTGGGGATGGGGGACACGGCAGTGACCAACACTTGTGTGCTCGTGGTCTCGCGGGGAGGCACACAGCGACTGTGTAAACACAGAACAGATGAGAGCACTTCACATGCCTGCGGGAAGGAGAGGGAGGTGGGAGCAGAGGCCTGCAGACTGTGCAGAGGTGCAGCGGGGAGGGTGCTCCAGTTTGGACAGGGGTGAGGCCAGAGGCCCTGGGGCTGGTGTTGGAGGAAGGGCTAGGAGGTGGGTGTGGCCGGAATGTGGAAACAAGGGGGAGCCTTGGGGTGGGCAGGGGCCCCGGAGCTGAAGGAGGCTTCAGACCTGGGACCAGATGGCCTCAAGTCCTTGTGCCCAGGGAAAGAGTTTTTGTTTTCATTTTCATGCTAACATAATAAACATGCGTTTGAACCCACGGGCATGTGCTGTGAGCTGGAGCTCGACTTTGAGGTGTGTCCGGCCCTTGCAGTTTGGGGCTCCGGCGTGCCTGTCCCCCACCAGACATTTACAAAGAAAGGAAAAAAATCTGCATCACTGTTGCTGAGAACTGAGACACAAGAATTGTCAAAAACAAAAAAGCCCCGAGGATGTGTGAGAAGGGGTGTGCGGCTCTGAGTTAGTCCCATGCACGTGTCTCTGGGTTCCTTCTACTGCAGGGCGGTGACAGCCGTCCAGACGAGTGTACTGTGTGGTGTCACACACGGCGCCCTAGACACAGTAGGGCTGCGGAGGGCCATGGCTCTGACTCTTCATTCATGGTCCGCTGAGTGCTTTTGAAGGCCTTGCTTGTGCCTGCCGCTCTGAAGATGCAGGTGCTTCCAAAAGAGGCCGGAGCCACTGAGGTGCTGCTGCTGCTTCCCTGAGCAGGCCCTGTGGCTTTGAAGGGCCTGGGCCTGTGTGAGTCCCCGCCGTGACCTCTGAAGTCGGTGGCTGGGCCCATGGTTGCAGAGGATTCCCTGAAGGCTGTGGCCGGGGGTCTTAGGGGACTAGAGGGTGACCCAGGCCCATCTCCAGCCTGACTGAGCAGGCCCAAGAGGCTCTGACTTTGGCCTCAGGGATGCTGTGCATGTTTTGTTCCAGCCCTGAGGAACCACCCCTGCCCTCCTCAGCCTGATCCCAGAAGAGACTTGGAGGTGCTTTGGCCCCTCTGACTCAGGTCAGTGACAAGTGGGGTCGTGAGCCTCTGTCCTCCGTATTCTGAACTAATCCACCCTGTGTCCCAGAAGGGACCCGCTTGTCTAACCGCTGGGGCTTTCTCCCTGGGGCTGGTAGGATGCTTTCCTCAGTGTGAGGCTTCAGGGTTGTAGGAACCTTGAGGCCTCTGCTGTTCCGGATGTCATCAGCCTTTCTCCCTCATGCCCTTTCTGCCATCTTCCTGTCCCTTACCCAGGCCACAGGCTCTGTCTCCACCCCACGTCATACCTGCCAAGACAGAAAGGGGTTCCCATGTTTCTCCTAGCCTGCCACATGCCAGCTGCCTGCTTTACTCACACACATTCTCTCTGGCAGAGCCCAGCATGGCCGTTACCCACCCAGCTCAGGAATCTCTGCTCCACTGCCAACCTGCTGTGTGACCCTGAGGAGGTCCCTCCCCTCTCTGGTCTCTGCTGTTCCCTTCTGTCAGAGTGGTTCATCAGGCAGCAGAGGGCGCTGCTGCTCAGTGCCGTGTGTTGTAGCTGTCCGCTGCTGCTGTGTGACAAGCTATCCCAGAGCTTAGCGGCGGACACACCAGTCATCTGGCTGCTCACAGTTCTGCAGCGTGGGCTGGGTCTGCTGGGCAGTTTGACGGGGCTTAGCCGGAGGCCACCATCTGGCACTCTCGGAGTTCGATGGCGCTGCCCAGTCAGAGGTGGCCTTGCTCACACGTCTGAACATCGGCTAGTGCTATCAGCTGCTGGGGCTCCAGTTCTCCTGTGCCCAGCCTCCCCGGCAGGCCCGCCAAGGCTTCTCTGGGGACCGGGTGCCAAGAGGGCAGCCCCAGCGTGCCCGTGCTCATCCAGCGTCTTCTTGATTCCCCTTGTGGGTGTCCCATTGGTCAAGGCCAGCTACATGCTATTCTTTGCCCATGGAGGACAGACCCCGACAGATGGGAGGCCCCTGAGGGACTTTCTAGCCCTTACTCTTGTAACTCTTAAAGCCCTGCTTGTTTGCTAGCCATGGTGATGGCACACTAGGCTTCAGAGGCCCTCTCGGAGGGTTGGAGAGGCATGGGTGCAACGGGGCCTTCCCAGCCCCCAAGCAACAACCCCTTCTCAGACCTAAGAGGCAGCAGAGCTCATGCCTGTGCAGTCAGAGTACCCAATGAACACCTGCTATGTGCCAGGTTTAGCTCTCTGTCTGGGGGTACTGAGGACTTCTGTAGGCTGTGGGATTGCCTAGGGGGCATCTGGGAGGGCCTGGAGCCGGAGGGGCTGCCCAGAGGCTCAGCAGCCCACCCAGGGCCCTGCACCAGGTTGCCCACCAGCCCTGGGTTCACACATCACCATCTCTCCCCTTCCATCTCTTTGCCCCGGTGCCCCTCCCCCACCATCCAGCCTCAAGGCTACTGCCCTTCCGACACCCACCCTGTGTCACCTGCCGTCCCTCTGCTGCTGCAGGCCCTTCAGAATAAAATGCTCTGTGGCTCCTCCTGATCCTGCCTGGTCCCTGCAGACCCTGGTCCCTTCCTCTTTGAGTTGCTGCCCATTGTCCCTCACAGAGCCTTCCAACCCCACTTTTCCCCCAGCACCGCTCCCCACAGGGTGGTTCGTGACCTTTATAGCATCAAGTTTTAGTCTTCCCTGGCCTCTGACTTCACCTGCCTTTCCAGTCCTGGGCCTGTACGCATGGTTCCCTTTTGCAGAAGAGGAAACAGGCTCCAAGAGGTGAGGTGGGGTCACTGCCCTTGACCAGAAGTGGGAGTCATACCCAGAACCTCCAAGCCCTGGGTTTCGCTTCTCCCCGTCCCACCCAAGCTCCTGCCTCAGGTGCTGTCTCATCCAGGTGGCCTTGCAGCCCTGAGGGTCTGCACCTCTCCCTAACCCTCACCCTTCAGCCCAACTAGAGCTGGGCCTCTGGACACAAGCCTGGGATCTGGCAGGGACTAAAAAACAAGCAAGTGTGGCCAGCACATTCCTCTTCTGCCCAGAGCCTCTGGAGCCCTCTGTGAATGTCTAGAGATGAGGCTTTGCTGCTCCTGGACTTCTGCCTGCCCCCCATCAATCAGGGACACGGTCATGGCCACAGGCCCGCAGACCAATAACTGCCATCCTGTTAAACCTGATCAACCACCCACTGTGTGCCTGGCACCATGCTGGGGCTTTTGGAAGGCTCATCTTTTCATCCTTCATCCTCAAGAAGCCCTGTAAGGCAGGTGTCACCAACAAGTACAAATGGAAAAAGAGCCTTCAAGAGGTGGCATGAGCTGTACAAGGTCAGCAGACTCCAGTCTGGCTTAGTCCCAGCCCTGTCTCTGAGATGCTGTGTGACCTGGACCCCAGAACTGGGTCTCTCTGGTCCTCCCTTTCTCCATCTGGACAAGGAAGACTGGCCTGGACCTTCTCTGCAGGCTGAGGTGGACATTTGTGTGCCTGCATGCGTGGCCCACTTTCTGTCTTGAGCAGAAATGCCTACCCCAGACTCAGGCCATATGGAAAAGCCATCTTCAATTACAGAGGTGGCCATGGGACACTGGCCTGACCAATCAGAGCCTCCATCTCCCAGGTCACTGTGATGGGGTGGACACGAGCGTGTGACCTGGTGAGAGGTCTTACCCAAGAATTTTGCTGGGAAGCATGGGAAAGTCACCATCTTCCTGTGAGGGTCGTTGAGCTAGGCAGATGGGAGACCAAGAACACTCACGGGGTCCCGGACCCAGCTGTATCCAACACTAGCAAAACTTGATTTTTTAGTTTCATTAGTCTGCAACTTACCATATTTGCCAAAATTGCTCCGAGTCCCATTTCTGCCAACTACAGAAGAGCCCACACTGACTGCTATGAATGTCAAGGCTGGAAGGTCATGGCACAGTTTGTCCCCCGCCGAGGCCAGCTGTGTACTGGAGCAGTGTCCAGCACCACATATCAGGGAGATCAGAATGGAGTCGTTTGGGGGTGGAATCTGGGTGGGTCCCACGCCCGCTGCTCTGAGAGGATCCCCACACCTCCCTTGGTGGTGTGGGTGGTTGGAAGAGAGGGGTGGCCAGGATTGGGGCACCCTAGGGGGGAGAGGGTCCTGGTGGGGTGTCAGTGTTGTGGAGGAGCCTGAGGGCCTAGGACAGGGTTCATGAACACAAGAGGTGTGGGAGAAGGACTGCCTCCCACTGCCAGGAAATGGGTCAGTTCTGTCCCCTTTCTAGGGTGTATTAGGGGCCTCATTTCGCCATCCTGCCTCCCTGCTGCCCCCAGCTCATTTTGGCGGCGAGGGAGGATTCTTAGGGCCATCCCATTAGTGGCCTTGACTGGTGTGTGGCACCCCCAGAGGCACTCGACCTCTGTTGGCCAACTCTGAAGGCACTTCTTGTCCAGCTGTCCTTCTACCTGTCCATCAAGCAGCCATTTGTCCAGCCAACCTTGACTGCCCTCTGTGGGCCAGACCCTGCCCAGGCGATGCCCTGGTGAGCAAGAAAGCCCAGCCCTTTCAGACCTAGGGGTCAGACGGACAGCCAAATGAGTTCATTGCATATACTCCAGGGACTGCCGTGGGCTACTCCATGTTGTGAACTAGGCGGGCATAGCCATGGGGTCCCCCAGACCCTCGCAGGGCTCCCCATCATCCACGGTTCCTCCGTGCGATCTCCCCTAATGATTAATAAATAGTCTTCTCCATTCAAAGAGCTGGACTGGGCTGAAGACCCCTTCCACTCCCTGCCTGGGGGCTCTCCATGTCCCTGGTTTATTTGCATGTTATTTGCATGTCCCTCTCACTTCCCACCTAGAGAACGTCCACACCCGCTGGCCACCAGGGGGTGCAAGAGGCAAAGACTTGGTCAGGCCCCTGGGCCTCCCAAATGGTCATCCCCATTATTGGCTGTTCCTGGTGGATGTGTTGTGATCCTCTTTACTTTTTCACCCCATACGTCCTCGCTCCCATTTTTCGGAAAGTGAATTAGGGTTCCATGAGGCCGGATTACCCAGCAGAACCTCGCACCAACCCCTGTGTGCTCCTGGGCTGTGCTGGCAGTCTCCCCTCCTTGCCAAGGTGGAGGTGTGGGCATTCCCAGCCCCGATTCAGTAGGATTTGCTCACAGGACAGCCCCAGAGATGGGAGGTGGGAGTAGCTGGGAGAGAGGCAGTGGACTTCCTGTGCCATGGGGCATTCAAGCTAGAATCTAGAACCCATGAGGGTAGGGATGACCTGAAAAGGATCTCAGCTCTGGGTGAATTGTGAGGCCACCCCAGGCTCTCTCAGATCTGTGGATGGGGTAAAAGGATGCACAAGAGAGCAGTGGCTTGCCCCTAGTTGGCCCACAGTGATCAGGATGGGAATCAGACTTCAGTTTTGGCTTTTTGTCCTTAGCCCCAATCTAAGTTCTGTTTTTTATTTCAGGCCTGCTCTATACTCCGAGAGGGCCCTACCCCTAGGAAATTCCTTCCTAGTTCAGCCACATCCCCCAGCAAGGTCTTTCCATGCCTCAAGCTTGGTCCTCATGCCCCTCCATCGCTCAGACCCTCTCCAGGTCTCTTTAGTTCTTCGGGAAACCCTTGGAGACACCCTTTTGGTGTGACCCCACACAGGACCCGGCCTGGAGGAGCCTCCACAATGGGGGAAACCAAGTCACACACAGACATCCCCAACCGCCTGGGTCAGCGCTGGGCTGGGACAAGGAATGGGGGTAGAGGAACCCCAAATGGGAGGAGGGGCCATTGAAGGCAGGCCTCGAAATGATTCCAGCCTCCAGGAGGAGGGGCTGCTATTGTCCCCATTTTTCACATGAGCAAACAGGCTCACGGTGCAGTGACAAGCTTGAGGTCATGCGGTTAGTGGAAACCAGAGCTGTGGTGGGGACCCAGGCTCTCTAACCCTGGGCCTATCTACTAGGTCACACTATACTTGCCATGGCGGGTCCTTCAAAGCCATCCCATCCTGACGTTGTGGGAGAGGATCTGGAAGAGGGAGAGGCAGTTTTTCCTCCACCATCCTATCTTCTCACCCCTACCTTCACCTCCCCGCATCCCCCATTCTCCAGGCCCCTGCCCAAATCCCCCTCTATGACCCTTTCTACTCCCTTCTCCCCTCAGCAACCAAGGGTGTCCCCTCATCTGAGAAGACTGAGGTCAAGACATTGACTGCCCTGATGGGGGACGAACGTTCACGTGGGATGACACAGCCAGTGATGGGGGAGGGTACAGGACAGGAACTGGAGTAAAGACAAAAAGGAGAGGCTGTTAGAGGAAACAGTATGAATGGTAGAAGGTGGGACTGGCCAGAATGGGAAGGGGGAGTGGAACAGAGTGTGGTGGGGGCAGGGGCAGGAACATGGGAGGGAGCCTTTGTGGTGGGAGGGGGCAGTGGGTGGGACGCATGGGGGTAGACCCAGCCAGCTCAAATCAGGCAGACCCTTCCCAACACACTCTGGCTGTTCCCAGAGCTACTCCAGCTGCTGCCCTCACGTAACCAGAGCCTGCCTGTTGCATCAGAGGCGGGCGGGCAGCCACGGGTAAACAGAACAGCCCTCGGGGGGCCTGGGGCTCCCCAGCCACCTCCATGCTCCCCAAGCCTTGTTCTGTGCTTTGGAGCCAAGGCAGAAGCCCCCATCCTACCCTGGGCTCTGGTGTGTTCTTGGGACGTCTGAGCGTTTGGTGTGGAGCATTGTGGGGCAACCCAGTGGGGCAGAGACAGGACTCCTGGTCCCTATGTTCTTATGACAATGTGAACCCTAGCTTATGTCTAAAGATGAAAGCTTTGCCCAGACTAGGGATCCAAACTGCCCATGTCACAGATGAGTAGATTGAGGTTTGGGGAGAGGCCTTCCAGAACCCCAGTTCCCTGCTTCAGTGTCCCACACACACTGACATCTCTGCTTGCTCCCCACAGAGTCCAGAAGTCTAGCTATCTCCTGCTATCTTCCAAGAAGGTGGATACCAGGCGGCCATTGCAACCCACCTGCTCTCCCACTTTATCTGCCCCAAATCCCCCCCAGATCCCTCCCCCTCCTCTCCATCTCCCAGCCTCTCTTTGCGTGCCCAGCCCATTCTGCTTCTTCCTACTGCTCTGGCTTCATCTCCCTCATCTCCCCCACCAAAGAACACTCTGCTCTTTGCCTCTACACTTTTGCAAGTGCTGTTGCCTCTTGGAAAACCCTTCTCCCAGTGGCAAACTCCTATTCATGCTTCGAGGCTCAGTAAAATGCCACCCTTTCTGGGAAGCCCTCCCTGGCCCCTCTGGCCCAGTCCTGACTCCCCAGAGCTTGGGGTGGGGGGGCAGTCAGGTGTGTGGCAGCTCTGCCTTCTCCAGACCAGTGGTTTCTCCAGGACTACACAGTCCAAAATCATCTTCATTCTGTAATTCTGTCCACACTGATTCTCTCACCAGTCCTGTTCTGATTTCCTTGGGCCTGGACCTCTGCTAGGTGGTGC